AGAAACACTGAAGCTACTGAAGCACCAAAGAAACTGCTCTTCAAAAACAAGTGGCCAGGATGATTGACAGACTGAACAGGAAGGCTGAATTTGTCTTCTGTGTGTTTGTAAAGATGAAGACCCTGAGCTCCAACCTGGAGCAGGAGATCCACAGGCACAGTTTGAGTCAGAGCGAGCTGAAGATGCAGAACCAACAGGTGTCCGTGCTCCGCTCCTCTGAGAAGCAGCTCAAACAGGAGCTTAACCACCTGCTGGACATGAAGCAGATCCTGGAGAAACAGAATCAGGATCTACGCAGGTCAGAAAAACACAATAACACACACACACACACACACTTCTCTGTGTAGTATCTGTGTGATTTGTGTGAATTGGTTTGGCTGTGATTCTGGCTGGGCCCTGAGCAATGTCTGACAGGTTTCTGGTGCTGTCTCAGGGAGAAGTTGGAGGCTGACAGCCAACAGAAGGAGCTGAAGGACCAACTGGAGGCAGAGCAGTATTTTACAGTAATGTTGAATTAATTTGTTTTAAGCAACAGTCTGATTTTCAGGAGCTTTTGTGGCAGTAGTTGAACAGTCTTCTCTGTATACTCCAAGCACACGTTGATCCTCTGAGATGTTTAACCAATTTGAATTTGTTTTCATATTTTCTAGACCCTTTATAAGACACAGATCCGAGAGTTGAAGGAGGAGAGAGATGAGAAGAATAAACTGCACAAACAGGCACAGCAGCGAGTGGCTGAATACGAGCAGGAAATGTAAGTGTTGTCAATTATTTGGTTTTACACACACATCTTCACACGTTTTTGACTAAGTGCTGTAGGACAGAGTTGCGATCACAGATAAAATGTAGTGGAGAAAATAAATAAATCAAAAATATATAATGCTAAAAGCTAAGGCAGTTCTAGCTAGAAGATAGTTTTAATTCAATTTACTGAATAAGCTAATCTTGGCCAAGCGTGTTTCAGAGGCTGTAGCAATAAATAATATAAATAATCAAAAGGAAAAATACAGATAAATAGCTAAGTATTAGCCAAATTTATATATATATTAAATGATCTTCTGTTTTTTTACCTAATTGCCATAAACCAGGACTCAAACCTTTAACTGCAGCAGTGGAGTGAAGGAGAGTCACATCATTCCCAGATGTACTGCCATCAAACAAAGTAGTTCTCACCTATTATAACTCTACACCAGGGAAAACAAGTCGTGCATATAAAAAGGTCATTAAACTGTGATCAGTGTTCACAGTATATGACAGGTCAAAGTCTGACTGTGATGAGGTCTTTGGGTCTGCAGCTCAAGTTTCTGCCTTGTCCGTAGTTAATGAGATGATGACGCTTCCCCGCTTTGTCTCCCTCGGCAGGGATTCCCTGACAGCACAGCTGGAGGCCAGTTTGACCAAGGCTGACTCTGAGCAGCTGGCCCGCTCCATCGCCGAGGAGCAGTACTCAGATCTGGAGAAGGAGAAAATCATGAAGGAGTTGGAGATCAAGGACATGATGGCCCGACATAGACAGGAGCTGGCTGACAAGGAGGCCACCATCAGCTCGGTGAGCACACATTTTATTTTAGCCCTCTGTGTCCGGAGCCTGTTACAATGCTGTGACAATACCAACTGTGGTAGGTTTATGTATAGACACGGGTTTCTTACCAAAGGGTCATGTGATGTCTGGACAGAGAGGGAAGTCAACTCTTTTTCAACATCAGCCATATATGGTTAGATTTTTGATAAATCACAGGGTAAATTTTCTGCTACTTTTGGTCCATGTAATGTAAATAGCCCCCTGGTGGTGATTTAGCATAATAATAGTTTCAGGCAGTTCCACACAAATCTGGCTCATTTACTCTGTGATTATTATATCAGCCTTTTGCTGGCTTACATTTTACTTGCCTTCTATTCTTAACTCAATGCCACTGTTCACTCTGCTGCCACCAACTGGCAGCTGAAAGCCTCAAACTGGCAACAAGAAACGGGGAATACATTTGCAATCAGAGCCTAGAGATAGTTGCAAACTGTATAAACGTGGCTTCGAGGGAGTTTGGAAGCAGAGCAAAAATGGAGCAATTTCAGTTGGCTTCCTAACAAGTCCTTAACTGTCTGCAACCAGCAGCTCAGATATAAACTTTAACCTGATTAAAACAAGAGGATTTTCTGTTCCAACATAAAAACAAACCGTTTCATCGGAGTATTTAAACGCTGCTGGCCTGGTGTAGGACTGATTTAAAGGTGAAGAAAATGGCAGCCAACTCACTGTATCTGCACCAGGAGCAATGTTGACTCTCTGTGCCGTTGTTTACTCGGATTAGCCTCTGTCCTGTCACAATCCTCACAGCTGGAGGAGTCCAACCGCACGCTAACAGAGGACGTCGGCAACCTAGCCAGTGAGAAAGAGGAACTGAACAACCAGCTGAAGGAGCTGCAGCAGCGTGAGTGTCACCTTGGCTTAATAAGCAGAGCACAGAGCTGATTTCTTTTTCTTTTTTTTTTTTTCTCTAAACAGAAATGACATTTCATTAGGCTTAGGAAGGTGAGCTGAAAAGGCTGTCTCACTGCTTCATGATTCATCAGGCAAATGCAGTGGGGGAAAAAAAATCACAGGGGGGATCCATGTCTTAGAATAATGGTGCTGTAATAGATGATGTATTACCCTGGGATGTGATGATGTATGGTATCAGTAAAACTCACATCATGTTATAAAAAAGGAGCCTGTTTTTTTCTTTTTACAGAGCTTCAGAACGCCAAGGAGGATGGGAAACAGATGAACTCTGTCAAAGTGTCATATGACAAGCTGCTGCAGAATGAAAGGACGCTGAAAATTCAGGTGTGTGTCTGGATGTTAACCATTAGAAAGTATAACTGAAGTGGACTGAGATGTCTGGTTTCAGACTATAATTGCAGAAGAGAAGACCAGCAAGACAACCAGGCCTGGTTGACTGAGACTAAAATAAAAAGAACCATCATTTTAAGTAATAGGGAAAATGAACACAAATCTCACTTTTCCTTAGTTTCTTATTCTCACTTTGACATTTTCCATTCACTAAGAGACCATTGTACGAGTGAGAATTCAGGTGAACTAAGATGAGCTTAGCTTAGGCTAGATTTTTTTTGAGGAGTTTGTGGTCCAAATCAGATTGTTTTACGACATAAAACTGACTCATTCTTTTAAAGGAATCCCACTATTTTCTCTTCCTATAAAGTTCCAGCAGTAGCTGCTTTCACTTCAGAATTTATTCACTTAAAAATTTAAAGGTTGAGAAGAAAAGCACACAAAGTAGAAGTTTTTCCAAGTGCAGAAGTTTGTTTAAAAAGTTCAGAAAGATTCCAAGGTACGGAACAAAACTGCCAAAAGTTCAAAAGACAAGGTTTCTCCTAAAATCTTCCCACATTTTTCACCTACAAAGTTTCACGAATACAGAATACCCAGTTGTGGATACACTTCAGTAACCCTACATACAGTAGATGCTACATGGCGATGGTGTTCTTTAGGTGTTAGTGTTTTTCCTCTTTCTATAAACATAGACAATGTTTCTATGGTTCAAGACTTACAGTTAAGCTGACCAGCTTAAATTTGAGTTTTCCTACACGTCCTTCTTTCAGTGAAGACGATGGATGGCAACATCCATTTTTTACAAACAATCAATGCCGTCACGACAGGTATAATAATGGAAACCTGTTGTTTTCATGTCATTTATTATTTCCAGCTACAGGCTTGTGCTGAACTTTGGGCAAAGTAACAAGTTCTGTTTCGCTGCATCAGTGTTTTTCCTCCTGTGTGTGCACTGCACATATATTTATCTTCAGAAAGGCCTTTGTTGAGCTCTGTGTGGCTGCCGTCTTCCTTTCAGGCTGTCAACAAGCTGGCGGAGGTGATGAACAGGCGGGAGACGGTGCGTGGAGGCCACCGCACCATTGATACTGAGGTGCACAGGAAGGAGAAGGAGAACAGGAAGCTGCAGCTGGAGCTGAGGGCAGAGAAGGAGAAGTTCAACAGCACCATCATCAAATACCAGAGAGAGCTGACGGAGATGCAGGCGGTCAGTACGCCCACACACTGCCAAAACACAAACATAAATACACACAAACAGAGAATGTAAACATCTAAGTACAGTCTGAGGTGCTGTAAGGACCTGAGAAAAACATACTTATAATCATAAGATTATTCACATGCTTATGAACAAAGATAATGTAATTGAATAATATGAATAATAATGTTTTAGCCCTAATAGTCACACCTCATGTTGAACGGCCGTTGATGTGTGTCTCAGCTCATAGCAGAGGAGAACCAGGTGCGTCTGGAGCTGCAGATGGCCTTGGACAGTAAGGACAGTGACATTGAGCAGCTCCGATGTCAACTAACCTCGCTCAGCGTCCACTCTCTGGACTCCACTAGCATCAGCAGCGGCAATGATCCGGACACGGGTGACGGATATCCAGGTAGACACTTGATCTTACGCTCGTCATCACACACTGATGTGGCAGCGAACAGTTCCCACCGCTACACATCCCGTATTTTCCCTTCTCCGCTGTCTTTTTCAATTCTTTCCGTTTCCTTATTTTCAATTTCAGTCTTGCTTCTCATCCAGGCTGATTGTGTTTCTGACCTTTTTCTCTCTCTCTCGGCTTCTTCCTCTCTCCTCCTACTCCTTCTCCCGTTCCTCCTCCTCATCCCTGCTCTCCCTGGTCCGGCGCAGTGCGCATTACTCACTCTCACACCTCAGAGTCCATGTCCTTCACCTACCAGCGCACACACAAATCTGTCTGCATCGACACCCGGCCTAACCTTCACTCCGCTCGTCCTCTCTTTGACTCTGACTCTGAAGATGATGAAGAAGAATATGACAGGCAGCTGGAGCGGGGCCAGCATCCTCTGGCCCTCACCTACGATCAGGCCCCTGAGTCTGACCCTGCAGGTGACCCTGCATGGAGCTTCCAAGCATTAACACAGAGCTTCACAAACTGTTGTAGCCACCAATTCCCAAAGCAGCAGTGTTTTGTTGGTTGTCCTGGGCCTAATTTAGCAAATCCAAACAATTTCTACTGGATTTTACATCAAGATTGGCTCAAAGTGTACAGCTTTCATCAGCCCATCAATTAATATCCATGTACTTTTTCCCGCTGGGTTTAAACAGCAATAACTGGAGCCAAGGTTATTAGACCGTGCAGTCGTGCTTAATCTGTGCGATGTGTTGACGCTGCTTCTGCTGTGCTTTAATCCTTTTCACTGTTCACTGACCACGACCATAGTCACAGCATGGTGCCCGCTTATTCCACTATAAAAGACATAAATGAAAGCTTTTTTTTTTTTTTTTTTTGGCCACTAAAATCCAGAAAAAAATTTTTTCAAGTTTGCACTTTGCTAATTTTAATGGGATGACTCACTCCAGCAGCTCCTGCTTTTTTAGTGGTAAAAGAACCTGGGCTTCCTGCCTGAGTGAGTCCACAAGGACTGGAGAATGTCAACGTGTTCCTCACATGATTAGAAGCTGTTCTACTCCTGTGTTAATGACTTCCTGTTTTCGTTTTGTTTTTTGATTTTTTTTTTTCCACTTAGACTCCAGGCTGGAGGGTTGGATTTCACTTCCTACTAAGAACACAAAGCGCTTTGGCTGGGACAGAAAAGTAAACACTCAGCCTTTATTTTTATTTATTTATTTGTTTTTTACTTTTAGTAAGTCACCACCCCTTTTATGACCTGAAATTGTATTTGTCTTTTATGTCTTTTGCAGTATGTGGTGGTTAGCAGTAAAAAGATACTGTTCTATCACAGTGAGCAGGACAGAGAGCTGGCCAACCCCTTCATGACCCTGGACGTCGAGTGAGTGTTTTACAACCAGTCTCACTACATGATAGTAATAATGACATCGTTTTAGGATTATTCTCAGAGGACCGTGAACTTTGGGCTTACAGGTTTCCCTTTATATTTAAGTAAATAATCTTTCTACATGATTCTTCCCGACACAGTAAACTCTTCCATGTCCGACCTGTCACTCAAACGGACGTATATCGTGCAGATGCCAGAGAAATACCAAGAATATTCCAGGTAATGTTCTCAAGGTTATGTATTGAAGTTTAAGGACTTTAAACTCACCATATTCGTCTGTATCTCCATCAACACCACTGCTGAGTCAGTAATAAACTCTGCCTTCTCTCTTTTTTTTTTTTTCCTTTCAGATCCTGTACGCCAATGAAGGTGAAATCAAACGGGACCAGGAGGTCGTCGTGGAGCCCACACCGTTTGGTGACCGACCCTCCTACATAAGTCACAAGGGCCACGAGTTCATCCCCACTCTGTACCACTTCCCCTCGAGCTGTGAGGCCTGTACTAGACCGCTGTGGCACGTCTTTAAACCCCCGTCCGCCCTGGAGTGTCGCCGCTGCCACACCAAGTGCCACAAAGATCACCTGGACAGAAAGGAGGAAGTGATTGTGCCCTGCAAGGGTCAGTTTTCTCACAAAAAAACAAAAACAAAACCTTGTTCTACAATTGTGTTATTGTATAGAAAGAGACATTTTTTCATAAAAAAAACATTTAATATGATATTATATATTAGGACCACACAGCGTCATCAAAATTTCTACTGTATAACCTTCAAACGATGGCGCCTCTGTTCTTGTTTCTTCCTCACAGTCAACTATGACATCTCCACGGCCAAAGAGCTGCTCCTGCTGACCAACTCCCAGGCAGAGCAGCAGCGCTGGGTTAGTCACCTCCTCAAACGCATCCCCAAGAAGCAGCAGACCATGAGTCCCATCTCGGCAGCACAAAACAGCCCCCCCGATGCCACCTCCCGGTCCTCACCCAGACTCTCACCGCGGCCGTCGCCTAGGAATTCTCCCCGTCTGTCTGCGCACCGCGGAGCCATAAAGATGCAGCCCAGCAGGTCACAGCCTCCGTCGTCGTCGTCGTCATCATCAGGGAAGAGCAGGTAACAAAGCAGAGGTTTAAAAAAACACTGTTGATCTAATCGATTAGCTCAGCATTGTTGATTCCATTTGCTCTCATGAGAATAAATTTCACAGACGTATAATAATAGCTGCTCATTATTTATGGTTCATCTAATGTATCATCTATGAAGAAGTTCCACTGATTTATGCTGTTCTAACAAATAAACGTTATGTATAGAACGCAATTAATGGATTGGAAAGCACTTTAGTTGTAAAAGTAAAAGTACTTTTCAATCGATGCAAATAAATAAAGTGAAGCAAACACAATAAATATTTAAATTATATAAATAAAGCCTACATTATTAAATAATTAAAAACAAAATGGTCAAAACAAGAACGTTACCTTTTTTTTAAATAGTAACCTTTTCAGTTATAATTGAAAATAAACACCTAACGCTTAGATGTAGAAAAATAATAAAATTATGATTAAAAACAATGATTAAAATATTTTATTATTTTCATGTGGACATGTGTATAAAAATCTTTGTTGTTGGAGTTCATGCGTGAAATAACCTACTGTCACATGACACGGCGGCTACTTTTGTCCTGACTGGAGTGGAAACACTGATTTTACCCAAAGGTCACTGGTTTAATCCATGTATTCTGCTGTCTGTCTGTCTGTCTGACTGTCTGACTGTCTGTCACAGACAGTAGTAAACTGTAAGTCGTTGCTTCTTATAGGGGACAACAACTCTACCGTACCTTACTGTAAACATTGGTAAATCAAGAGTTCTAGTCCAACACTGTAGCAAAACAAACTCTCTAACAGTAGTATACTGTAAGTCGTTGCTTCTTATAGGGGACAACAACTCTACCGTACCTTACTGTAAACATTGGTAAACCAGGAGTTCTAGTCCAACACTGTAGCAAAACAAACTCTCTAACCCATGGACTGGTGTACCACCAATGGTCCATGAACCCCGAGTTGGGAAAATCAAATTTTAATGGATTGACACCACACGTTCAGATGAGCATCACTAACTGTATCTGTGCCGCACCCCCAGCTCTGGTCCCATGCTGCGTATCATCCTGCACTGACCCCCCCGCCCCCACCCTCTCCACCTCTGACCACACCTTTCTAACGTTACTCTCTCCTGCTGGGGGACTGTAAGTAGCACACAGCTTTGAAAGACTGTGGGTGTGTGAGTGAAAAAGAGAGAGTATGTGTGTGTGTGGGTGTGAGCATCTCTGCCTGCCATACATTAATGCTGTGCTGCTGTGTCCTCTAACCGTCTGTCCACAATAACCACAAACTGCTCACAGCTCCACACTGCCCCCTGC